CTCTAAATTGGTGTACAAAAATTTTATTTTTCGATTGCTTCCACCAAAATTCTTAAAAGGCCAATTCACCCCCTCTTGGCATCATTCGGTTGATCGATAAAGCTAACATAATATTTTTTCCATTACACTTTTAGGTATTCAACATTAAAAAACTCGTTAAGTGACACATATCACATTTATATTTTTAATTTTTTAAATAAAATAATATTTAAAAATATTAAAAACTCTGAACGTGACACATGTCACTTAACTGTTTTTTACGGTAGACACTTAAAAGTGTAATGGAGAAAACATTAGACATCTAATTTTTAATAAAAAATTCTTTAACCACCAAAAGTCAATATTGAGTATAGTGTAGGCACTTATTTTTATATGAAGCTTAAATTAAAATATTAATTTAATCATTTTAATTTATAAATTAATACTTTATATAAAATTATTGTTAATTTTTTAATAGTATGAGCTGATTACTATGTTGTATCCGTTCATAATTTTTTAACTATTAACAATATGTACTTATACTATAGACGTATTTATTCAAACCCAATAGCTCAAGAGAGGATAATATTTCCTTTAATCATTGAGACAACTTGATTGATTCACTATAAGTGAATTTAGAATAGAATAGTTTATTCTTTAGAATACCATGTGTCTTACATTATTATTATATCTTAATTAAAGATGGTCATAAGTGAGGTTGGGTCGATTTTTTTACTCACTCCATTATGGCTCAAAATCACTCATATTTAACTAGAGTCAAAGTTTAAGAGTCTCATTTAATGTGAAACTTGATTCGATCTTTCAAGTTAAAATTTATATTCAGTCTAACATATATATATATATATATATATATATATTCATTTTATTAGATAAAATAAAATCTAATTAGAAAAAATAATATAAAGAAAAATATTATTATAATTATTCTTAAATAAATAAGAAGTAATTATGATGTAATTTCATATCAAGTTCCTTTTACCTTAGACTTAACCTCACCTTTAGAAAGGAACCCAAACTTAAATTTTTAAAATGAAAAAATAATCTTACTTACTAAGATTAAAACTCGTAAAGTAGAGATAAAATGCTATCCTTGATCTTAATCTCTTTTGTGCATTTTGTTTTAATTTAACTATTGGTATTGTAGACACCCGTTTTTGACCGGGTTTTATATTTTTATTTTTATTATTATAATTTATTTATTATTATTAATAATATTTTTTATTTTTTTTGCAGGTCCATATTCAACCCCAACTATCCCAACAAAACCACATCACCTGGTGGTTAACTTCCCACGTTCCAAAGGCTCTCTTCCACGTACAACAAATGCCGAAAAAGCAGTGCGCATTTCCCATATTTTTTTCATTTAAAATGGGGATTTGGCTACTGCACATAGGGGGAGGCAGAAACAGAGCAGGGGGGACCTGCGCAAAGAAAAGGGGGGAAGATTACACCTACGAAATACCCACACGATTACACAAGGGTGGACACATAAAAATATAAAAGGAATCTCTCTCTCTCTGATTCCACATTCTCCTCACTCTTCTTGCCTTCTCTCTCTGACCCACCATGGATTCGAAAGCATCCACCGCTGCTCAACTTGTTAGCCTCCTCTGGGAAAATCTACATCTATGGCGGCAACGCCCTTAACCAACCCATACACCCCTCTCCTTCAGAAGACTCATCAAAGTCGTGCCTTTCTCAAACCCTTCGCACCCATACGATGCATCTCCAAATCTGGCAGCTGCTTATCTTTTCTACTTTTAACCATCGTCTTTCGTCTTCCGCTCCCTACACCGGTGGAGACAGCAGAGCTTAAGGGAACACCATGGGTCGTATGCACAGCCGAGGGTTCTACCATAAGAATGATGAAAACCGACAGCTCTTTGCGTGGAGGTTCGCTTTGTTAGAATGAGAGATCATAATGCAAGAATTACATGCATGATATTGTTTCCGCTTGATGAAACTTTTCTAGTTCGAAGTGAGATGCAACGGGATGAAGATGTTTTGGTGACGGTGGTGTCGAAGTATTGGCAAGTGGTGGGAAAGATGGCACTATTTGTCTCTGGTCCCTTCGCTCTAGCGAAAAACGTGGTCAACAAGCTTTAAAGGCTACATTTTATGGGCATCAGAAACCTGTTTCATTGATGTCAGTTGCTGGGTACAAACCTTCTCTTTTGGTAACCATGTCAAAGGATTCCAACGTGTCAAGTGAGAGTTTGGGATACGACTACATCATCAACTATTCGTCATTCCTGTTGTGTGGGAATTATTTCCATGCTTGGTACTCCCGTGGCCATGAAATGTGACGAAGCCTTGCTTTATGTTGCTGCCGGTTCGTCTGTGGTGGTGGTTGATTTAAGGACAATGCAAAAAGTTAGAACCGTAGCAGTATATAAACCAAAATTACACTTAATGAGGGACCCATTTCTTATGGTGGAGCTGCTGAGTTCATTAGGTTCCAAAACTGGAAAGCAAATTGGTGGGAAATAGAGTAAAATACAAAGCTGGAAACCCCATGCACGTGGAGGAACCATGCAACTTACATCATTCATTTTATTATTTTTAATTATTTTTCTTCTTTTAACAACTTTTATTTATTCATTTTTTTGTTATCTATTCTATTTATTTTATTATCACTATTATATTAATATTGTTTTCCATATTTTTTATTTTACATTCTAACAATATTTTTTATTTTTTTAGGGGAATTTCTTTAACCAATCGATGGTAAGTAATTTGAATCAGGTTTTTTAAAGTTTAATTTTAATTTTTTTTCGCAATTAAAGACAACCGATAAATTAATTGGTACCGAAAGGGCGGTTCAAGGGTGTTAATCCTTCCTTGACCGTAACCGACTCCCGAACCCGATACATTTCTGGTAAACCGCAGATCATGTAAGATGGTGTCCGACCCACCTAAATTCATTTTAAAATGGTCGGTGGCGACTCCAATCCATTTAATCCAAGTCGAAGCCCAATTCCAGGGCCCAACCGAAATACGGTTTCGACAGCTTGGCGACTCCGCTGGGGACAGGTAAGTGAGCCAGGCCGAAATTAATTTTTGGTTGTCTTTTTATGCGAAAATGGTAAATTTAAATTTAAATTTATTTATTCGATTCCAATTATTTACCTTTGATTATTTTTCAAATAAATAGTTGTACTAACATGTTTTAATGATTTTAGATTTTTCAAAGTTTTCATCTCAGGCTCTATACCCGAGCTCCAAACCCTATTTAAGTGGGGGTGAAAGCGACGCCTTTGTGTGAATTTATTCACCGTGCGAGCCTAGCAAGTAGCCTTCGGGATTCATATACCTTATGTCTTCGTGTGGATTTATTCACCGTGCGGGCATAAGAGAATGTGTCCTCTCGAGTTTAACTTAGTTTACACAAGCCTGTGATAGGCTTAGGACTAAGGGTCTGGTAAGCCCAAGGGGGCACCAGCAAGGAGAACTCGAGTACCTTTTTAGAACCTAAACCGGGAGAGTATAAGGAATTAGAGCCCACCCCAATACCTCATTCCAAACCCTAGGCTGCTTTGTTTCCTGCTTTATTTTCTGTTCAAAGCATGCGAACTAGACAAATATGCGGTCAAGATTTGTTTGAAATTAGCATGCGGGATAGAAATCATGTATGTGTAGGAATATTAAACATGTTCGGGTAGATTATCATGTGGGGTAGGATTTTTTATTTTTTTTATTTTGATTTACCTCACTAACCCCTTTTATTTTTTGTTCTATTTCATTTTGTTTTCATCATTCGCATCATTTAAAACGAGGTGTTGATCCACCAAAAATGTGTTTGTTAAACATGAATAATCTGCATTAATGGACAAAGGTATTATAATACAAAGAGATAAAAAGCTCAGAAGCCCAGCCGTGGTCAAAGAATACTCGGAGGCAAAGGGTGCAGGGGCAAGACGAGGAAAATGTTACTGATCAGGAGAGTCCTTTCGAAAACTGCGAGATCAAGATGGCGAAACCTTAGCTAAGCTGGAGATCATTATTGATAAATTCTAGAGACAAGTCGATAAACTTTGGATGAAGGGCTCCGATGGCACTTTTGTTTGGAACAAGCTCGACATAGAGTGAAAGCCGGCGATGCAGTCCTTCGAAACCTTTTGGGGGCAAGCAGCTCGTTATTTGCACATTTTAGCCAAAGGAGCCGGAACGGTTTGATAGGGTATTCAACCGGTGACAGACGAAGGCAGAAGATTAGTCAACCTATCAGAAGCTATTCGGGGTCTATGCCTTCAAAATATTTTTGTCTCTTAAGACGTAACACTTTTGCCCCAATAAGGATTATTTATAATAACAGGTACATTTTTTGGATCAATGCCTTGAACATTTTATGCATCATGCATTCAGACATATTGTGCATTTTATTATTTTTCATTACATTTGCATTATTTTTCCTTTTTTTTACATTCACATATCTCATAAAAAATGAGAACATTTTGATCCTATGACATATAAGGAGCTTTACCAACAGTTGTTTGACGCACACGTGGTGTCACCATATCCAGAGAAATCCATGTAGCCCCGTACCCCAGGTAGTATGATGAGAACACTCATTGCAAAAATCATAGCGGAGTCCCAGGGCGCACTATCGAGAATTACTCCACAATCAAGAGAATCACACATAAAATACGTAACAAGAATCGGATCGACTTCAACAACTTGGGGGCATCCAAGTGAGGAAGACCATTTCATCATTTGAGTCATTTTGTTTGAATTTGTTTTTCATTTTTTTCTCAAGTTTTTGTAAGGACTTTTAAATAAATTTATGTTACTTTAAAGATGTTAAACAATGAATCACATTTGCAAACCTGCAATTCTTTGAATATCATCTGAATTAAGAAACTCTGAAATGGTTCAAAGTTACATATCTTTGACGAAGTAACATGATTTAAAACAAGGAATTATACTTTACCCAGAATATACACTCAAACACCGTACCCTGCTCTTACAATTAACCAATACAACATTTTCCTTTCATGAAGTACGGACAACATGGGGCATCATTTGCATATGACAATTACTATGTTTTTTATTTAAGATGTTCAATGACGATGATGATCTTTACAAATTAAAGAGTCGAGTAGGTGAATCTAGTTTAGGTCAATTGCTTGAAAATTGAACTCTAAAGATGAAATTTTTGACTTTCAACAAACACCTAGGCTATAATAGGTTATTCTTGACAATCTTAAGAAATTAAATCCGTAAAGCTGAGCTATTCCACTAAGGCAATTGGTTATAGAGGAAACTTGAAAGCCCTGGTCTTATGAGTAGATTGCGTTCAAACCATGACATTGCTCGGACACTTGGCAATTCAGTGTTTGCTCCACTGCTCTTGTCAGGCTGAAGACTCTGTGATGAAATGAACCCTTCAGTGAACTTGATAAAACTGATTATAAGTGGTCCCTCTAAAGCAATTGGTTAAATGCCCCGGCTTTATGGATCCAGCTTGCCAGATAACGACAAATTAAATCAAATTTATCTAAGCAAGAAATTTTCGGTAATGTTGGACTAAGGGTGTTAAGGAACACCTGTTACAGTCGACTACACACGAGCACTCAAGAATTTCATTTTTAAACCGATATTTTTTACACTGCCTTTGTTGGAGGATCCTACAAAGCTTGAACAAATGGAAGATTTCAAAGGACCGAAATAAAATGTCTAGTAATTGGTCATTCTAGTTGCGTCATTATGTCCGCACCCAAATGAAATGCCAAAGCATATTTCGATATTTAAAAAAAATGACATTTTGGGTTACCAAAACCTTAGAAAGGAGGCTAACCTAAAGTCAACTCATCCATTTGAACATTTGTCTAAGATTTGTAACTCTGAAAGCATTAAAAGAGCTCTTGATTCCTTTGATATTTTTTGAACTCACATTTACAATTTGATTTAATTGCGAACAATATTTTACAACATTTTTATCATGTCTCTCTCCTAAAACAAGAAAAAGGAGAAAAACATTTTCAAGCAGAACAGTCTCAGATATGAAAGGTCTGTAAAGCCAAAGCTCGGGAAGCAAATGGGGCACGATCCATTCCAAGGACCTGATTGACAGACAAAGCACGAGACCCCATCCAGAAGATAACACATAATTCATCCATATTGAATGCATCTTAAACATACTTAGGTACATCACATTCATCATTTTAGCATACACGTTTTTGTAGCTTTTAGAGTCAAGTTTTGACTTCAGGATGAAGGATACTCGATTCTCAAGTGCCTTCAAAGAAGGATGGTGGTTGATTAACTCGGCAGTAAGAAGCTACACCTCAACCGACTTGACATCTTAGAACCAATTTCAGATAGGTTCGAGAACCAGTTCAAAACAAATCCAGTTCGACACAAACTCAACCATGAGCAGTATGTTTCCAGTTAACACTTTCAAGCCAGATTTCAATTCCACGAAGAAAGATATCCGGCTCACAAAATTTGGCGAAAGGGGCCATCATTCATTTAAAGGAAATTTACAGCACAACTTAAGTCAAGAAAAGTTGTCTGTCAACAAACAGCTTTCCAATTTCATTCAGAGTCTATTTCAACTTCGCAGCGAAGAAAATTGGACTCCAGACAACGCAAGTTCAACTTCACGACGAAGGGACCGCTGGTTGTCAATAAACAATTTTCCACTTCTAGAGCCAATTTCAACTTCACAGCGAAGGATAGTGGACTCCAGACAACACAACTTCAACTTCACGACGAAGGGACCGCTGGTTGTCAACAAACAACTTCTCAATTTCAGATCCAATTTCAACTTCACAACGAACTATATTGGACTCCAGACAACGCAAGTTCAACTTCACGACGAAGGGACCGCTGGTTGTCAATAAATAACTTCCCAATTTCAGAGCCAATTTCAACTTCACAGCGAAGGATATTGGACTCCAGACAACGCATGTTCAACTTCACGACGAAGGGACCGCTGGTTGTCAACAAATAACATCTCAATTTCAGAGCCAATTTCAACTTCATAGCGAAGGATATTGGACTCTAGACAACGCAAGTTCAACTTCATGACGAAGGGACCGCTGGTTGTCAACAAACAACTTCTCAATTTCAGAGCCAATTTCAACTTCACAACGAAAGATATTAGACTCCAGACAACGCAAGTTCAACTTCACGACGAAGGGACCGCTGGTTGGCAACAAACAACTTCTCAATTTCAGAGCCAATTTCAACTTCACAACGAATGATATTGGACTCCAGACAACGCAAGTTCAACTTCACGACGAAGGGACCGCTGGTTGTCAATAAACAATTTTCCACTTCTAGAGCCAATTTCAACTTCACAGCGAAGGATAGTGGACTCCAGACAACACAACTTCAACTTCACGACGAAGGGACCGCTGGTTGTCAACAAACAACTTCTCAATTTCAGATCCAATTTCAACTTCACAACGAACTATATTGGACTCCAGACAACGCAAGTTCAACTTCACGACGAAGGGACCGCTGGTTGTCAATAAATAACTTCCCAATTTCAGAGCCAATTTCAACTTCACAGCGAAGGATATTGGACTCCAGACAACGCATGTTCAACTTCACGACGAAGGGACCGCTGGTTGTCAACAAATAACATCTCAATTTCAGAGCCAATTTCAACTTCACAGCGAAAGATATTGGACTCTAGACAACGCAAGTTCAACTTCATGACGAAGGGACCGCTGGTTGTCAACAAACAACTTCTCAATTTCAGAGCCAATTTCAACTTCACAACGAAAGATATTAGACTCCAGACAACGCAAGTTCAACTTCACGACGAAGGGACCGCTGGTTGTCAACAAACAACTTCTCAATTTCAGAGCCAATTTCAACTTCACAACGAATGATATTGGACTCCAGACAACGCAAGTTCAACTTCACGACGAAGGGACCGCTGGTTGTCAATAAACAATTTCCCAATTTCAGAGTCAATTTCAACTTCACAGCGAAGGATATTGGACTCAAGACAACGCAAGTTCAACTTCACGACGAAGGGACCGCTGATTGTCAATAAACAACTTTCAACTTCACGATGGAGGATATTGGACTCGGAACAATGCTACTTACCCGCGGTTTCAACTTCACGACGAAGGGAATCGTGCACACAAGCATCATCCATCTTTAGATTGGATTTCAACTTCACGACGAAGGATATCCAACTCAAGTAGGATATCTGCCAAAGACCCCCGAGTTCGATTACACTCAGCTTCGAGGGCACATCATTTACAGCATAACTCAAGGCTAGAAGGGTTATCTGCCAACCAAAGACCTTTGAGTTCGACTACGCTCAGCTCCAAGGTACATCATTTGCAACATAGCTCAAGGCAAGAAGGGCTATTTGCCAACCAAAGACCTGACGAGTTCGATTTCATTCAGCTCGATGACAGCGATAAGTTGCTTTCTGGAAGAATTTTCAAGCCGAAATCTTTAAACCGAGAATAAGACAAAGGCCCAATTCCAGGAAGCTCAATCACATTTGAGAAGACCGGACAAAAACTAGTTGTCTTTTTTTTATCTTTGCCCTATTCTTGTTAACACAAGAATGTGCAAAGAGGGGCAGCTGTAGACACCCATTTTTGATCGGGTTTTATATTTTTATTAATATAATTTATTTATTATTATTAATAATATTTTTTATTTTTTTTGCAGGTCCATATTCAATCCCAACTATCCCAACAACACCACATCACTTGGTGGTTAACTTCCCACGTTCCAAAGGCTCTCTTCCACGTACAACAAATGCCGAAAAAGCAGTGCGCATTTCCCATATTTTTTTCATTTAAAATGGGGATTTGGCTACTGTACATAGGGGGAGGCAGAAACAGAGCAGGGGGGACCTGTGCAAAGAAAAGGGGGGGAGATTACACCCACGAAATACCCACACGATTACACAAGGGTGGACACATTAAAATATAAAAGGAATCTCTCTCTCTCTGATTCCACATTCTCCTCCCTCTTCTTGCCTTCTCTCTCTGACTCACCATGGATTCGAAAGCTTCCACCACTGCTCAACCTGTTAGCCTCCTCTGGTAAAATCTACATCTATGGCGGCAACGCCCTTAACCAACCCATACACCCCTCTCCTTCAGAAGACTCATCAAAGTCATGCCTTTCTCAAACCCTTCGCATCCACACGATGCATCTCCAAATCTGGCAGCTGCTTATCTTTTCTACTTTTGACCATCGTCTTTCGTCTTCCACTCCCTACACCGGTGGAGGCAGCAGAGCTTAAGGGAACACCATGGGTCGTATGCACAGCCGAGGGTTCTACCATAAGAATGATGAAAACTGAAAGCTCTTTGCGTGGAGGTTCGCTTTGTTAGAATGAGAGATCATAATGCAAGAATTACATGCATGATATTGTTTCCGCTTGATGAAACTTTTCTAGTTCGAAGTGAGATGCAACGGGATGAAGATGTTTTGGTGACGGTGGTGTCGAAGCATTGGCAAGTGGTGGGAAAGATGGCACTATTTGTCTCTGGTCCCTTCGCTCTAGCGAAAAACGTGGTCAACAAGCTTTAAAGGCTACATTTTATGGGCATCAGAAACCTGTTTCATTGATGTCAGTTGCTGGGTACAAACCTTCTCTTTTGGTAACCATGTCAAAGGATTCCAACGTGTCAAGTGAGAGTTTGGGATACAACTACATCATCAACTATTCGTCATTCCTGTTGTGTGGGAATTATTTCCATGCTTGGTACTCCCGTGGCCATGAAATGTGACGAAGCCTTGCTTTATGTTGCTGCCGGTTCGTCTGTGGTGGTGGTTGATTTAAGGACAATGCAAAAAGTTAGAACCGTAGCAGTATATAAACCAGAATTACACTTCATGAGGGACCCATTTCTTATGGTGGAGCTGCTGAGTTCATGTGGTTCCAAAACTGGAAAGCAAATTGCTGGGAAATATAGTAAAATACAAAGCTGGAAACCCCATGCACGTGGAGGAACCATGCAACTTACATCATTCATTTTATTAATTTTAATTATTTTTCTTCTTTTAACAAATTTTATTTA